GCCTTCGGTGGAGTTCCCTATGGAGCCACGAAGCGTGTGAGGGTTGTGCCGAAATGGGTGTGGCTGACGCATGCGGGCGCGGGCACTGGGGCCTTCAGTGGAGTTCCCTATGGAGCCACGAAACGTGTGAGGGGTGTGCCGACATTGGTGTGGCTGACGCATGCGGGCGCGGGCACTGGGGCCTTCGGTGGAGCTCCCTATGGAGCCACGAAACGTGTGAGGGGTGTGCCGAAATGGGTGTTGATGATGATGATGATGATGATGATGGGAGGGGGGAGGAAGCAGCGGGAGGAAGGAAGGAAGGAAGGAAGGAAGGAAGGAAGGAAAACGCGGGGCACCGTCTCTTCAAAACGACGACCCAACACCACAGGATGGTTGGGAACAAGCTGCCTTGCATCGTTCTAGCGCGCACATCATTAGGAATGCGAGATCGTGGGATCATGCATGGGGCGTTGTTCCACACATTGTCCTGGCTTCGAGGATCGAGGGAGTTGTCATCTTTTCCTCTGCCGAAGGCGTCGGAAGGGCGGCGGCAGGTCGGCGAAAGTAGAACGAGGCCGTCTCCGCCGGCGGAAGCTGGCGGAAGGACGGCGGAAGGCGGCGGAAGTAAAAGATGCGCCCCCACGAGGAGGAGGAGGAGGAGGAGGAGGAGGAGGAGGAGGAGGAGGAGGAGGAGGAGGAGGAGGAGGAGGAGGAGAGATGAAAACGTTGTTGGGCTCAGGGTGTTTGAAATCGCCCACATGTTAGCGAGGCGTCCAGCGAGATACCCGCTTTGCCAAAAAGGACCGCCCCACGCCTGTGCAATGGTTGCACAAGGTTGCAGCTTTATGTCAGGAGGGGAAAAACACACACAGACACAATTAATCGGCGATTTCCAGACAATATAGGAAAATATGGGAAGTGGGGGGGAAGACAAAAACCCAGAAAATATGGGAAAATATGGTGGATATTTTTATTTGTGTGTATTCATTTGTGTGTCCCAGTTCCCCTTCATTATGTTCATGAGCTTCGAGGAAGTCTCAAACGAGAACACCGTTTTGGAATGGAACCGCCATCCATCCATGCAGCAGCTACATACGTTGAAGGTTCGGACCTTTCAGTTTCAGGAAGGCACAAGCGAGAGGCCTATTTTGAACAGGATCCGTCCTCCATCCTTATAACAACTGTTTCAAGCTTTCATGGTGAATGCTCGCGTCGCTAAAGCGATCGCCACATTTTGAAAACGAACCGTTCTGCATCCTTGGAAGTGGTGCAAACGTTTGCGACGAATGTGCACGGCGCTGTTGCGAGAGCTCTATGTTTAAACCGACGTGCATTTAAGACGAAGGTATGCGGAGCAAAAACAATAGCATCATGTGCAGAACTATCCATCCATACGTGTAACTGCTACACGCTTTAAAGACGACTGCGCGCGGCCTTGATGCGATAGCTCAATTTTGAAACCGACCCTCCATCCGTCTAACAGTTGTGAGTTCCAAACGACATGATCATGTATGGTGAATGCGTCTCAGGCTGTCTATGGATAGACAGAGAGAGAGAGAGAAAAAAAAAGAAAGACAGAGAGACATAGCAACATAACTGTTCATCGACAGAGAAGCACAGATCGTGATACCGAGGCAGGAATCGATATGCACACGTATATGTAAGTATACACAAGATGTGATATGTACATGAAGGTGTGCACATTTTGTACATACGCCTACAGTTAAGCATCTGAGTATCTACCTGTGCGCAGGGACCAGGAGGGGGAGGGGGAGGGATTGGAAGGATAGAGCCGGAGGGGGTGATGACGACGATGATGATGACGATGATGATGCTGATGATGATGATGATGCTGATGATGATGATGATGATGATGCTGATGCTGATGATGATGATGATGATGATGATGATGATGGTGGTGGTGGTGGGTGGTGGTGGTGGGTGGTGGTGGTGGGTGATGGTGATGGTGATGGTGATGGTGACGGTGATGGTGACGGTGATGGTGGTGACGACCATGATGGTGATGATGATGATGATGGTGGTGATGATGATGATGTTGATGATGGCGATGACGATGACGACGACGACGACGACGACGACGACGACGACGACGACGACGACGACGACGACGACGACGACGACGACGATGATGATGATGATGATGATGATGATGATGATGATGATGATGATGATCATGATGGTGATGGCGATGGTGATGCTGATGATGATGCTGATGATGTTGATGATAATGGTGATGATGATGCTGATGATGATGGGGATGAGGATGAAGATGATCATTGTCGTGATGGTGATGCGAATCAGGACCAGGATCAGGACCATGATCAGGAACAGGATGATGCTGCTGATGCTGATGCTGATGCTGATGCTGATGCTGATGCTGATGATGGTGATGGTGATGGTGATGGTGATGGTGAGGAGGAGGAGGAGGAGGAGGGGAATGAGACGGAAGAGGAGGAAGAGGAGGAGTACAGGCGCTAAGACCCCAGTTGATCCAAGTTTGGCTAACGTCAAAAGAGGTGGAGGAGAAGAAGGAGGAGGACCAGTGTAAACCCAATATTCGTCAACGACGTTGGAATGAGCCATCCCTCAAAGCTCCCGCATCATAGGTCCCTACACGGGTTCATTTGCATTGAAGGGGGAAGTGCCCCGTTGGGAGAGAACCGTTTGAATATCAGCCATCGTTGACTCCAAATAGATCCAGACGACTCAAATCAAGGAATCAGGGGAATCAAGCATGCTGGGAATCCGCAACTCAGCAAGCAAGCAAGCTTGCAAGCAAGCGCGCAAACACGAAAGCAAGCAAGCAAGCAAGCGCGCAAGCAAGCAAGCAAGCAAGCGTGCAAGCGCGCAAGCAAGCAAGCAAACAAGCGTGCAAGCAAGCAAGCAAGCAAGCAAGCAAGCAGGCATAGGCATAGGCGCAGGCATAGGAGTTAGGGGGGAGGCATAGCCATAGCCATAGCCATAGCCATAGGAATTGGGGGGGGGGGGCGGGCATAGGAATGTGTGGGGGCAACGGACCAATTAGTAGGGTTTGAGCTAGGACTCCTATACGGCAAGCCTATTTGGATAATATCCTGAAGCGTACCAAAACACCATTCTCGGGATTCCTACGCCAACCTGGCTGTTGCGCCTTGAAGATCCTGAGTCGCGCCAGAAAACCACTCCTGGGACTTGGACACCGCGACTCAATGTAATTGCTGCGTCCTGACAATCCTGAATCTTTCTAAATCGCTGTTTTTGGCACGTCAACCATGGGAATCCGTCAAACTTTTGGCAATCAAATAGAATGTTCGCGGCGCCAAGGCCACAGACACATTTTGGAAAAAAGCCGCTCTTCATTCGCGAAGCACTTGGTTTTGTTAAAGCGAATGTGCGCGGCGCTAAGGCGAGGGTCACATTCTGAAAACGGCCCGCCCTCAATCCGTGAAACTCTTGCAATCGATTCAACGAATGTGCGCGGCGCTTGGGCGAGAGCCACGTTTTGAAAACGGCCTGCCCTCAATCCGTGTAGCTCTTGCAAAGGTGAAAGATGAATGTACGCGGTGCTACGGCGAGAGCCACATCTTGGAAGCGGGCCGCCCTCCATGTGTGAAACTCTCGCCAACTTCTGAGTTTCACTACCATCAATGGTAAGGAAGTTTCAGCCGAAACGCCAGGCCCGCCCCTCGACTGGCCTCGGGGTGCGACAGGAAGGAATTTAAGTAGCTCCAGTCATTGAGCAACCTAATTAATCCACAGCCATCTGTCTGCTGCTCGTCGGGCTTGTCATGGCATTCGCCCGGGCGAAAGAAAGAAAGAAAGGAATAGGGAGAGAGGGAGGAAGGGAGGGACGGAGGGAGGGAGGGGGAGAGAGGGAGGGGGAGGAGGAGGAGGAGGAGGAGGAGGAGGAGGAGGAGGAGGAGGAGGAGGAGGAGGAGGAGGAGGAGGAGGATTTGAGTACGTGCCAGGAGGAGGAGGAGGAGGAGGAGGAGGAGGAGGAGGAGGAGGAGGAGGGTGCCCTGTCTCAGACCCCCACCCTCTCGGGGCCTCCCCGCAGTTGTCGCGCTCCCCCCCTCCCCAAGCGAGGGCGAGCTCCTCAGCTCCTTGCCCGAGCTCAGATCAGGCCTCGCGCTCCCGCCCGCACTGACCACCTGATCTCGGCCCCGCCGCCGAGCTGACCAGTGCCCAGGACGACGACGACCTCTACGGCGACGACGTCAGCGTGGCCACCGGCACCACCCTGGCCACCGGCGTCTCGCGCATCACCCGCAGGAAGCCCTTTGCTGCATCGTTGCCCCCCCCACCCCCCGTCCGAGGAAGGCGGAGGCGCCGGGGGCAGAGGAGCCCGAGACAAAGGGAAGATGGGAGGAGGGTGGCGGAGGGCGGAGGGAGGAAGCAGAAGCGAGGTGCGAGATGAGGATCAAGGAGCGCGGGAGGAGGGAGGGATCAGGATGCAGGCAAGTCACGAGGGGAAGGCGATGGGACGAGGAGGGATCATGCCACAGGGGGCGGGGAAGCGGGGCAGGAGGAGGAAGAAAATGGAAGAATGAGGATGAGATGATGATGATGATGATGATGATGATGATGATGATGATGATGATGATGATGATGATGATGATGATGATGATGATGATGATGATGATGATGATGATGATGATATGATGATGATGATGTTGATGATGATGATGATGATGGATGCTGAGGATGAGGATGAGGATGAGGATGAGGATGAGGATGAGGATGAGGATGAGGATTAGGATGAGGATGAGGATGAGGATGAGGATGAGGATGAGGATGAGGATGAGGATGAGGATGAGGATGAGGATGAGGATGAGGATGAGGATGAGGATGAGGATGAGGGTGAGGGTGAGGAGGAGGAGGAGGAGGAGGAGGAGAAGGACGAGGAGGACGAGGAGGAGGAGGGAGGTGCGGGCCCAAGCCGCTGAGGAGCTCGGCCTGCGCCCATGCGTGGTGCCCTTTCCGCCAGGACACCCGCGACACGAGAACCCTTCCTCCTGGCTTTGCGCCAGAGCTATTTCCAGAGACGCGTCATCACGGCATGCTCTTTTTTATTCGTACGCGCATCCAGCTGCTTCATCTCGCACGCATGTCCGCAAAGCTTGCAATCGCCTCGGTTACGCTGCTCGTAAACACCGTGTTTCACCATCGCTCTTTCACGACATCCTCTTGCTCCTTAGAGAAGCGAACCGTGGCGACGATCAGAACAAACAAGTTGGCAATTCTACATGCAATAGTGCCTCAAGCATTGGACACATCCCAAGCAATTTCAGAGGAGGAGGAAAAGATACCCATACCCCTACCCTTCGCTCGTTTTCCCCTTTTTGGGCCTCCTGGGAGGCCCTCGTCGTCACCGCTGGATTCGCGTCGAAATCCTGGTCAGATCGCATTCCGGGAGAGGTTCGGGGAGTAGCGGTATCGATACCTCGTGGTTTCCTTACCACTCTCCAACCCCGCTTTCGAAGCGGCGCATGGCTGATATGCTGACTGCGAGTGAGGTGTGGGTAACTGAAGGCAGAAGCGTGGCCTGGCCGTCGGGCCCGTCGCTCCCGCCCCCCCCTCTGTGCATCCCCTATCTCGTCCATCCGCAGAGGTTGAGAGAGGTGAGGGTCAGCAGGGGGGGAAGTGGGCGAGCCCGACATCAGGAAAACGGGCGGGCAAGGAGGGAGGTAAAGTTCGGGGGAGTGCTGGCTTCTCATTGTCGTATCTGTGATGGGCGTGTAGTACCGGCCACCCATTTCCACCCACGGTTCGGCACAGTCGGGAAGCTGGTGTCAATGCAGGCGACCATACCTTCAACCTCGTGGAGTTCCATCTCCTCGGTGTCGTCGGGTCAGGCCCCATGCCTGAGGTGAAAGTTCTTCCGAATCAAGACGGCGAACGCAGCCTGTACAGGGTCAATCTGCATGTTTCGGCTCGCTCGGAGACTCCTAGTCTGATCGGTGGTCGACGTAAGAGCCATGGGGTTGGTGAAGTTCCACTTCATCCCGAAGATCCACTTCTCGGAGGTGGCCAACCTTGGGCAGCGCTGCGGTTGGTGGCCAGTCGGCAGTCTTGCAGTACAAGTTCTTGCACTGGCGAATGTGGGCGAATGCGATCTTGGGATTTACATCGCTCCTGACCAGGAGTACGATGCAGTTTGTCTTCATCCAGAAGACGACTATATCAAACTTGCATTACATTGCAATTGCATGCAGACGTAGCTCTCCAGGCTGAGGGCCAAGCTGAGGGATGAGCTCGCGCAGTTTGACGGTGCACCTGAGCAGTGCCTAATGTGCTACGTACGATCTCGTGTGCCCGCAGGAACAAGCCTTTCTGTGCACTATCAGCAGTCACGCGTGCCAGCTGGATTCCTACAGTTTCACTCCGAACGAGTCCGCCGTCGAGGACTCTGCCAGCATGCGCGCAGACGTGCACGAGGAGGACGAACAGTTGAACCACCTCACGGAATGTTACAATCTGAGGGAGTTCTTGGGGCCTTCGAGGGCTGAGTCCGTAGGGCCATACCTCGTGGCCGTCGAGGACTCCATCCTGGCCGAATCAAGGGCCATGTTTGTGTTCGATGCTTGCAGCGATACTTGCAACGCCTCCGACACTGGCAGTGACACTTGCACGCCAGATGGGGCTACTAGACTGAAGCTGGTCGAAGCAAAGGCCATATTGGGGCTCGACGTTGACGAGTCTGAACAATGCAACGATACAAGCCTGCATCGCATGACACTGGCATGGGCAGACCTGGAAATTACCGAGAGCGACTACGACCTTGAATGGGAGCAATTGCGCTCTCGAGACTGGTCACGCGCGGCTACTTCGAGACGCGTCCGTGCAGACGGGGCAGCCCACCCCGCAGCGCCGAAGAGAAAACCGAGGAGGTGGCGATGGCGGCGCAGGCGCCCGAGGGGCCTCGTCCCCGTGCCTTCCCGACGGCGTCGCCGGGAGAGACCTGGGGCCGCTCCCCCCTCTCCCGAGGCGCGGGGCGCCCGGCCCCTCCCCGGACCCCGCGGATCCGGGGATCCTGTGGCTGGGCGTGGGCACAGCTCCGCGAGGGCACCACGGCACTGGCTGGTCAGATGGTCACGGTGGCACAGGGCGCCACTGAGAGTGGGGGGGGCCTCGACGTGGTGCTGCAGAATCCTCCGCCGCCAGTTCGTGCAGCTCGGCGTGCAGCCCGTCGTTTGCCATCACCGCGATGACACAACGCACCCCCGAGAGTGACCAGCCACGAATGCAGTTCTTCACGATCCAGAGCCGCATAATCTTCATTCGTGCTCTTCACGATCCATGAAAGCAGCTCCTCGTGTTGGCCATTAATCGCCTTCGTGTGCATCTGCCACATCGGTTGGGTTATGTACTCCATCGTCTAACCTGGAGCGAATGTTGTGACTGACTCTGGATATAATCATTCGCTGCTGCTATCGTTTCTCGCCATGCGGGACTATGCCGGAGGACAGCGATGATGCACCACTGGATAGTATTGGTAGCATTCTCGCCGATTGCCACGCTGATGTCAGATTTCGCTAGTGGAAACTGCCACATCTGTGGAAATAGGTCGGAAGACAAACGTGATAGGGATAAGGTTGGAGTGTTGCGTTCTCCGGTGTTCTCGTTGAGACTCGGGAGGGAAGGGGAGCCTGCGCCGCTGAAGCCACCCTCCCACCTGGACGCAGGTCGGAGACACAAATACCGTGTAGGATGATAGAGTATGTTCGCCGTGGTGGTAGAGGTCGTAGGTGGAGAGTGTGCTGTTGCGCTGATGGTAGAGAGACCCTGGTAGCCTGCAGTCGGTGTCGTAGTCAGCTGCACGTGCTCGTGAAGAAATTGTTCCTCCTCCTCCTCCTCCTCCTCCTCCTCCTCCCTCCTCATCGCACCGCCGGGCGTTTTCGTAAGGCGGGTCTGGCGTTTTGCTTAAGATGGTTTGACAATGTTTGATCGTACCTCTTGATACTCCAGCTTCACGGATGTAGGGTGACTCCTTTTTCAAAACGTGATTGACGTTTTGGCCCCGCACACATTCGCGTTGAATGGTTTCAAGTGTTACACGGGTGTACTGCTGTTCTTTCTAAGATTGGGGTCTCGCTTGACATTTCGTTGAAGGTGTGATCTCGTGCCTAGGCAGTTCCAGTAGCTGCATGGATGGAGTGCGGCTCCTTTT